TATCTTTTGAACGCTCCACATGCGAATGTAATGCTCAGTCAAAAAATAAATGAAATACATGATTCCATTGTTATGAGATATACATAATAGATAAATCCATGGAGACAGAATGCACATTGGGTGTTACTAGGAGCTGGGGGGCTGGGATGCATAGGGAGCAACTGCTTTATGGGCATGGGGTTTCCTTTGGAAATGATGAAAATTCTCTGGAACTAGACAGAGGTAATAGTTACAGAACATGGCGAATGTATTAAATACTGCTGAATTGTTAACTTTAAAACAGTTAATTTTACGTAACATGAATTTCACCTCGATTTTTTTTTTTTTTTTTTTTTTTTTGAGTTGGAGTCTCACTCTGTCACCCAGGCTGGAGTGCAGTGGCACACTCACGGCCACTGCAGCCTCGACCCGCTGGGCTTAGGTGATCCTTCTGCCTCAGCCTTCCAAGTAGGTAGAATTACAGGTACGCACCACCATGTCCAGCTAATTTTTTTATTTTTATTGTAGAGATGAGGTCTCACCAAGTTGCCCAGGTTGGTCTCAAACCCATGAACTCAGAAAATTCTCTCACCCCAGCCTCCCAAAGTGCTGGGATTATAGGCATGAGCCACCGCACCCAGCCTCATCTCGACTTTTAAAAAACATAAAAATAAATAAATAAGGTCAGGCGTGGTGGCTCATGCCCATAATCCCAGCACTTTAAGAAGCCAAGGCAGGATAACAGCTTGAGCCCAACAGTTTGAGACCAGTCAGGGAAACATAGTGAGACCTCATCGCTACAAAAAATACAGAAAGTAGCCTGATGTGGTAGCACATGCCTATAGTCTCTAGAGGCTGAGGTGAGAGGATTGCCTGAGACCAAGAGTTCGAGGCTGCAGTGACCTTGGATCATGCCACTGCATTCTATCCTGGGTGACAGAACGAGAGCCTGTCTCTAAATAAATAAGTAAAATAGGTTTTCAGATCTCTGATTGGGAGATAGTTAGGCAATGCTAGTAAGAAGCATGGGCAGTGAGACAACTGTCAGGCTCAAGTCCCAGCAACGCACAGTATTACCTGCAACACTTCTTTTTCCTTTTTTTTCTTTTTTTTTTTTTGAGTTGGAGTCTCACTCTGTTGCCCAGACTGGAGTGC